ACACATTGCAGGAGGTACCAGGAGCGATTTGCAATCAAATTCAAGCACCAAAGCTCAAGGAATCACGAAATACCATCTCACGGTTTGCACTTATAATTTAAAACTGTATCTCTTAACTCATACGCATTTGACATGTTTTTGTGATTGATTTGCCTTGCTAGAGATCATACAAAGCTAATGGAATGACTGAATTAAACCATAGTGCCCTGAATCGAGAGATGCCATGATTGAATTTCTAGGGTTTTCAAGCTTTCAAATAGGGCTTTCCAAACCAGGAAAAATTGGAACCAATGGGATATATGGTTAAATTCGTGAGACCAAGACGATTCCAACACATACCTCGCGAAATATTTATGTTTGCTCTGTGTCTATTCGCTATTTTTCGTGCAGGGAGGTAGTGGAGGTTAAAAACCCCCGCTATCTGATTCTATTTTATGCAAAACCAAGGTTGAAGATGATGACGTGTTGTCATCTGGTTCGTGGGTTTGAATTAGCGCGCGTTTTATTTTTTTTCCAGGCATAAGCGTTTGTTTGATATATGTTAATTGTTGTATATTATAATAACAAAAAGATACAGGTGGTTGAGTGGTTGGGACGCTGGCCAATGAGTATTGGGACCTGGGTTCGAATCCCAGGTCCCCCAAAATGTTATTGCAATTTTGTTTCAGGAAATCCCATGCAACACTCAAAGCAGGGCCCATCATACGCCCTCATCCAGATGTTGTCCAAGTGGCTTCAGATCTAATCCAGTGGCTAGGATTGAAGGACTACCATGCTCCCTGGTCAACAAGCACGCGCTGGATTCTGAAAGTCAACAGGGCTGCCTACGTTGGGCCCAGACAATTGCCATTCAGACCCCCTCTTTGGGCCCAATACACCTTGGTTTATTCTACTTTCTTCTCATTATTTTTTTGTATTTTACTTGCTTGTTTTATTTTTATTATTCCTAATTAATTGCTAACAAAATAATTATTATTTTTCTTAATAAAACCAGAAAACAAAAAAATATAATATTTTTATCTATTAAAATTAATTTCACTATTTCATTATTTTTGTAAATAAATAACTTAATTGACTTAGTTTTAATTAGGCATAATAATAATATTTTTGCAATAAATAAAAATTGGTGTAGAATTAGGTTTTTAATATATTTAATCATCTTATTTTTATTTCCTTAAACATTCAAAAAACCAAAAAAATATTTCTTTTTATTTAATTAATTAATTAGCTTAGGTTTAATTTAATTAAATGCACAAATAACCAAAATCTCCTTCTTTCTTAAAAAAGGGTCAAAACCCTAAAAACTCTCCGATTCAATTTTTCTCGCGCGTATGATTTATTTGATTCATATTTTTATCCATATAATTGTATTTGCTCCGAGGATGTAATAGTTTTAATTAAGACCTTTTTATCGCTTTTATTTAATTTTCCGCATTTTACCTTTTCAAGGGTTTGTTTTTGGCGATGTAAATACCCGACGCCTTGTAATAGTTTAGTTTTATTTTTCCGCAACCATTAAACTACTAGATGTATGCTAATAAGCTATGCATGACAAGATCTATCTTAACTTAAAATCAACCGTAGCTCACCATAACATGTACAAAGATAACATAACTGAAAATTGACACATTTGCACATGTCACTCCTAGGGTACACCTCACTTGGTTGCCTCGAACGTGGTCATTGAGTATAGGAAGTTTTAGAGGTCGCCCTCTTGTCCAAAGATCATAAGTTGCCTCGAAACGGTTGCCTCGGATAAAAATGATCTAAGACATTAGGGTTACCACTAAGGCGTCCTAACATTGCTTTAGTGACCACATGTCCCTTAATCGAATTGACCCGAAAACTCCAACGACGGTGCTACCTACTCCTCAATAGTGGGATGGAACTGTCTCAAGGACATTTACACAGCTTAATTCCTCTTGAGTAGGTAGAGGTTCTCAGGTACTTGCTCTTTCAAAACGAAACAACTTTTCCGCACTTACACTTTTTCAAACAAAGTTTTCAAACAACACTTCATACACTCTTGAGGACAGAAACAAGAGTTAAATCGAAGTTTTCAAACAAAACTCTTTTCAAAACCCACGAACACAAGAAAAGCAAAAACTTTTTGAAAACATAGTGAGCAAATACCCAAGAGCCCGTGGATAACCACGGATAGAAAGGGTGTTAACACCTTCCCTTTCTATAATCTACCTCCTGAACCCGAGAAACATCTCGAAAAGGAATTTTGCTGTGCTTTTGTCCTTTCCTTGTTGGATTAAATAAAAGATGGTGGCGACTCTTGCTTACCGCGACATTTTGCAAAAACAAACGCAAACGCGAACCAGCATTCCAAAACAATCAGTTCTATTTCCACCGATCACACCTGGCTATGTGTTCGACAATAGATTCGCTAATGTCACCAGAGAATTTTGTGAACTTGAAGACTTTTCAACCCCTGGGTAAATCAGTTTGTAGAATAGATTCAGACTAAAGAGATGTGTAATTTGGCATTCAAAGGCCTATATTTACCACATTTCGAGCCATTATTCTTTCGACCATGGCTGCCAGATTATTTTCCCTTGGGTATTCGTCTTGTCGAACACGTTGAAGGACTTCGTCTGCATCCTGGTTTCGATTGACCATTACCACCCTTGGGGCTTGAACCTCCCTTGGTATGGCTTGTTCGATCTTGGGTTGTTCGATTCTTGGCCCCTGATTGACTTCGCCAACATTTTGTACAATTGGTTGTGGTTGGTTAACTGTTTGATTTTCTTCGAAAACCACTCCTTGGTTTTCTCTTATCTACTCTGGATGGGGATATTGAATTGGGGCTCGAGGGGCACCAAAGAAATATGTAATTTGTGCCATCTGCGCTGCCAATTATTGATTTGTCTGTGCATTCTGTTGATTTGTTTGGATAGCACTTTGAATCAAAGGGTTAAGAATAGAACCCATTTGTTGGGTTAAAACACCAACCATCTCGTGGTTACTGTCATTTATTTGTTGTCTAAATGCCGCTGTAGAACTCGTTGTCATGGTAAGTATTTGGGTAAGGAATCCTGGAAGTATGACTATTCGACCCATATTATTGACACCTGATCCTGATCCTTGCAATGGTGAAAAAGTAGACACAATTAGATCAGGAAATGTCAAATTACTATTGTTTAAACTTGTCATTACTGATGTTGGCATACCATAAATCTGTTCACGGTCATCCATAGGCTTTGTGAATCCAGACACAAAATGTCTAAAATTATTCACCCCTGGTTTCTCTGGGGTGTGTATGTACTGGGGATAAAACTGGACCACTATGAGCATTTGTCGATATTCCTATCGTACTCACTTGAACGAGTATCGATTCAGTTGCAAATAACGCAATCGTACTTTCCCATGTCGAAGGGGGATGGTTGTTCTCCATTGTTATTGGGTGGGTTAACCATTTTCCTAGTGTATTTCCTTTTTGATATTGGTTCGTTATTTTTGGCTAATTTTCCACTCCTTAATCTCATACAACAATGTCAAACAAATAGACTGAAACGAAAGACAATACAACACAAAACAAAATTCGTGACACAAACTTAGACACTGGTCCCACCGGGCGTGCCAATTTGTTTATCGTGAAATTTGATAAACAACCGCTAGTCTTTCAAAACAAAGGTATTCTGGTTACTCACAAGATCGACTAGATTGATCCTAGAACACGTGTCTAGTTTTGATGATTTATGGTTTTCGAGTGTTTATCTTTTCGAATATGATGGTTAATTGGTAAGTAATTGTAAAACTTATATGAATAAATAAAAAGAAAGTAAAGAGATTTCAACTGAAATGTAAAAGGAATTAAAAGAACTTTTGTAAAGGTAAATTGACAATTGAATAAAACATGGTGATTCATACGTGCATTCTCAGCAACTCGTTTCTCTAACACTTGGAACTTTGAGTTTATTTGAGTAATTTGTACAAAAGTGAGCCCACTAAAATCCTAACACTAAAACTCTAATTTATACTAGTTCGACCATAACGGTCTTTCTCTAGAAGAACACCACGTTCGATGTTTGCATGTCCTTTGAATCTTCAGACTTCCACGCGTTCTTGTGGATAAGATCAACCATTTGAATTCAAAATCTTCTTCCATTCAAAGCGCCAAAACCAACGTGACTTTGTCGAAGAATGAAACTTCGAAACTTCAAAAATCTTAAATCCCTTTTATCCACGAAATAAGACTTTCGCCACCATTTAATAAAATTAAACCATCCATAAGCCTGTCGGTCAAAATCTTCATGAAATATTCTCATATTTTTCTTAATATTAACTTTCCTTCGATATCCTTCATTTCTCCTTAATACTTCAAATCGTCAAAATTCCTAGCTAACACATTCATAGTTAAATATCTTCCTAAGGTGTACATGATTAATCCACTCTCCTAGAATTTCCTTTATGATCACCTATTTCTCCGTCAACAATGGTATGAGCAAAATATTCAATTTCTAAACCATTGGAAGATAAACGATTACCTGGAATGATCTCAACCCGTGGTTGCTTCGGCTCCGCTTTCTCTTCCACTGTTTCTTCTTCCACTATCTCTTTTTCCTCTTCCACTATTGGTGCCAGCCTCTCCGATTGATTCTCACTCGGTCCCGGTGTGAAAATCGGGTGAATCACCGATTCCGCCACATGTATCTCCATTGTTTCATTCAACTCTCCCCTGCTTGAGTGATGTGAGAAGACTCTCACAATTATGGGTGGTGTTGTCGCCGCTTGTTTCTTCGGCTTTCCACGGACACGCCCCATAACGTATCCAGATTACGGTTGCTGGAAATCGCACCGGAAAGAAAATGCATGTACCTTTTTGGCATACCAATTTTCAACTACTATCAAATTAATAGATACATTTACACAATTATCTAATCCAAAATCATGAAATAAATTAACAAAATAAAGTGTTGTACATAGATGTCTTCAAAGTTCTAATTAACACAAAAATAGCAGTCTGTTTTTATTTGTGGTTTAGGGAAGATTCAATGCAAACGATTGCGCAAGCGTAGATTGTAATTTTTTGTAGCTATAGAGGTTGAGATTGAATTCTCTGCAACTTCTTCTGGAATTATATAGTCAGGATCATCAACACGGTTCACATCATCAGGTAAATCAGTATCTATCCATTGAGACCAATCATCCACATCATCATCCGTATCTAAGTCCCAAGAACACTCCTGTATTTTTTGCATGGTGTTAATCTTGTTGACTAGTGTTTGGAGTATTTGATGGTTCAATCTTTCATAGTCCCTGCATGATTATTAACAATCAACTCTATTATTTTATCTTATTTTGATAATCAAAAGTTGAAGTGAGTTCCGTCTCAGATCTACGAATAAATAACAAATTTTTTATTTTATGTACACTTACTTGTATGTGCAAATTGCATATAAAAGTTGAGCTGAAGCAGATAGCAAGAAAAATAACCGGACTTTGTTTATTATCCATGTTTGTTGCTCTATATTGTCGTTACTTAAACGAATAATGAATACTTCCACAAAGAGCGCAGCACAAAGCTCTGCAAATAAACAATTGATAACATGTTATGCTTAGTCAATTAATTACTTGCATGTTTAAAAACTAAATACACTAGTTGGTATACTCACCAAGGTAAAGTAATGGCCTAACATTGTAAGTTTGCTTTGTGCTAGTCAACATATAGATGACAAAGATTGAAACGGCGTAAATGAAGAAAGCTTTGATAACTCTTGATTCAAGCAACATGGCATTTTGCAAAGCAAAGATTTTATCCAAAACAACAAACATGGTAGCTTGCTTTTCTTCAAAAGATTCCTATAGAGCACAAATGAAAAACCCTGATTAAAATCTTTAAGCATACATGTGCGTGCATAAGGAACTAACACCCCAAAAAAATAGTCCACAAACCTGAGCATACAATATAGTTTTTGAGTTTTCCATTAATCGATCGTGAAGCCCTTGCATTTGTTCCTGCCTCCGTAGAAGTTCTTCCTGTTGCCTATGTCCGTATTCAGCAAAATATTGCAGGCTTTTTCTACATTTCACCAATTATGAGGTTAACATTTTGCCAAATACAGTTTACGAATACGAATTTATAAATTTGATCGGTCATACCTGCTTTCCTCTAATGCCTTGAGTTGAACCTCATTCAATGAATTTAGGCCCTGGAGTGCCGTGGATTGTCCATCTAAAAGTTGCTGTTGTTTATCTAAGGAAATCCCTGCCATATTCTCAATATCTTCAGCTTTGGTTTGCAGAGTGTTCATCTTTGATGACATAGCATCTCCAACTTTGATCACCTCATTCTCTATTTCAATGGCCTCGTCTCTTAACTTTTCTATTTCTTTGCCTAAATCACTATAAGATTCCTTGAGCAGTGCTACCCCGTCTTCTAAATTCCTCCCCAGTTGCTCTTGTCCTTGTTGTAGTTGTGATTGTGATATTGCAATGTTTTTAGTTTGCTCATAAACACTCTCAGAATGCCTTAAAACCACATCAATATGACCTTCCACGTTCTTTACGGTTTGTGCTATTAGTTCTGCATGATTATTAACATATTCAAGAGAATCAGAAATCTGTTTTGAGCCTTGTAACAGATGTTCTGATTTCTCTTCAATACTCTCTAACTTGTCCTCCACATACTGAGCAGAACTTTTCAGTTCGGTCACAAGTCTCTCAGTTTCATGTTTGAATGCATGTGTCCTGAAAACGTACACATAACACATTTACAAAACAAAATATAGAGAACTGACAAACGATTATAAAAAAACATTTCCACTTAACTGTAATTGATAACAAATCGAGTTCGTTTCAAGATAGAATTCAAGATAAACGCTATGAGCAACGCTATCTAAACTTTTAAGGCACGTTGCAATTGATGCTTTTGGATCACAGTGCGGAAATGAAGCCCTACCAGAGTCCCTCTGAAAGCAATCACTTAAATGCCAAGCTAATCTAGACCTTTTGTCATCAACCGCCAAAATCTCAGAACAGCCGGCAAAAAGATGTTGATAAGCCTTTTGCCAACAAGTATTTGAACCAACCATTTTATTCTTAGCATTCTCTAATACCTTCATTCCCTTAGGGTCATTGAAAGCCTCTATTGAGAATTCAGCACTAGAACCTCTAAAATTTGCTTCATTTCCATTTAGCCTCTCACTATAGTGTTTCTCTTTAGATGATGAAAACCAACCCCATGACTCACATCTTAATGACAAAGATACCAAAATAAGAACAACAAGACCAACCGCGTGATCCATTCACTTTCAGTGCCGGTGGAGAAGAAACGGGGACGCGTACGTGAAATATAAAACGATGTTCCATCGTGTCTTTTCAATTTTCACTTCGTTTCAAAACAGAGACGGCTTTTTGGAATTCAATTCAAAACTAACGTAGTAGCCAACTTTCCTTTTATTTATTCTCTCTTCATTCATTACACTTTTCATAACCGGTAAATCAAATATCTTTTATCTCCAATTTAGATAATCAATTAAAGTAATCGGGAAATAAATATATTAACAAGGGAAATGTATATTAGAGGTGAATGGAAATATGAGAAAGTGTTAGAGAGAATCCAAATTCAATTAAAAGTCATTATATTTTAAGTTTCAGGATTTTGGTGATTTTTTAAATCAAAATAAACCTTTTTTTTTTTAAAGTTTAATTCTATATTGTTCTAATTTTTCTTCTTCTCCGATTTTCATCACCAAAATAGTCTAGTTTGGAGATCGCAGTTGCGGGAGATCGAACCATAGTCATCTATATTAAATTTTACGCCAATTACTATCAGACCAACTTGTTGGTGCACAAGGAGAGATGAAAGACAAAAAAAATATATTTAATGACGGCTACAGAATAAGGAATAATGAATTTCATTGACCTACCTATTACTAGGCTATTTATACATAAAATTAGGGTATAATAAAATACTAAAATACCCTCTAACAAAGATACTACTAGATATTCCTAAAATATAAATTAATTCCAACATTATCCCTTAATTTATATTTACACAAAACAAAGAACACCAATTCCATCCCTCAAACGAAGAAATTGATCAGTCTTGATAGCCTTTGTCAGAACATCTGTCAGCTGCTTCTGGGTGCTACAGTGCACAACTTCTAATATTCCACTATGAACTTGATTCTTCGGAAAGTGATACTTTGTCTCAATATGCTTGCTTCTCCCATGCAACACTAGGTTCTTGGCAAGTCTGGTTGCAGACTTGTTATCAATCATCAGCTTCAGAGGTTTGTCTACCTCAATCTTCAGATCTTGCAGCAAGTTCAGAATCCACACAACTTGGTGTTGTACCCCAAAATTTTCTCTCTCATTTATCAAATATTTTCTCACAAGATCTCCTTTTGGTTCAAGACTGCACAAGGGTTAACTAGCTCAAGACACCTCCTTAAGCACTAATGACTGAAATTAGGGTTTGAGATTTCACAAGGATAATTGAACTTCCAATGACTCATATGATTTTCATGGATCATTATGGACTCCCAAGATTACTCATGTTAAGTTTCAAGTCTTGGATCACATTTTTGCTCAGTCAATTGAGCAGTTGGCCTAAAAATTAGCTGTATTAGGGAAAAAGTCAACTGTGGCCAATTTACAGTCAAGCTTCATAATTTTTTATCTATATCAATATTATAAACTCATATGTATCATTTGATCAAGTTTGGACCATAATTCCTCAAGAAATTTGATCAAATCATCAAAAGGGCAAAATGGTCAAAATTAGGGTTTTGACTGAGAAAGGATTTTTTTTTAATTTTTGACCTAGCAAATGGTTAATTAGTTTGAGGCATGATCTCAAGAGTTTAATTGCATCATTTTTACTTAATGGCATGACTCAAAATATTACTCAAGATCAATTGATTGATAGTTGATTTTCAGTCAACTGATTAAAAGTCAACTGTACACTGAAAAGTCAAACTTTGACTTTTTGGTCAAAATCAAGTGCCAAAGATCACAATTCATCAAAACATGTCAAAATATGAAACTTGTTCATCAAGAAATCAAAAAGTCAAGATTTCATTTTGAAAAGTCAAAGTTTTCAAACTTAGAAATTTTTCTAAGTGTTGAAAACTTCATATTTTTTCACAACTTTGAGCCAATTTTTCACCATGATGCAAGATGATTCAAAAGAAACTTTTAACATGAAAGTTATAGATATCCATGAGATCTACAACATTACTTTACACAACTTCTCCTAGAAATGCTTGGATCTGAAGTTATTAATCCATGAAGTCATGGTCATGAAACTAAAACACTTAGTGAAATTTTGGACATTTTAGGTCAGGATTTTGACCTAACTTCTGACCCAAATTTCACATAGTTACATTTAGATTTTGCAAAAGTGATCCAAAGAGAGGTTGTAGAGAATATTACAAGCTTTCCAAAATGTCTAAGAACTGCTTGAGATCATTTGTGAGCAAGGAGGATCGAAAGTCAGAAGTTGGGGTTTCAAGTTGTTTTACAAGGAAAATTTTGTGATGAACGAAATTCAAATCTCAAACATATGCTGCACAATCTTGCTTTGCAGGCCTCTAAACCTCAAGATCTCTCCATAATCAGAATATTACACTTACTTTTGAGCTATTATCCACTTGATTCAAGCTTTATCCAAGTAAATTTTCCATTAATGGCACAAAGGCACCATTGTCATTTACATAAAGCAAGCTTTATGCAAAGTCAACTTGCATTGAGCTTTGCAGTTGTTCCTTCTGCACAAACTTCCTCAACAAAGTCAGATAAGCTTGTTTAAAGTTGGTAACCACTCTAGATAGCTTTGTACTATACATTGAAACCATATTTGTCAACCTTACTTCAAAAACAAGTCAAGAAGCCAAAACATATGATCTTGTACTTCTGAACACCTCAAGTACTTCTGAACACCCTTAGTTTTCATTTACATGGCTTGAGCTTAGAGAATTTTAAGTTTGAAGTTTCTGGAAAAATTAGGGTTCAAATTAGGGCCAGATAAATTCTCATTAATCTTTGATCTATAGCTTTGGTTGTTTACATGGTTAGATTCGTGAGGAAAAATAGCACAATTTTCATGTTTACATCTTCCATTTTTATTGAGAAATGAATGAGATATAGAGGGTCTGGCTGGATGAAGGTTGAAGACGAAGTACAGGCCATGGAGATGTTTTACATTATGTATTTATTCTTTCACATAAGTTAACGGATGTACAACCACCCCAGTGGTAAGGCAGCGCACGTTATTGGCAGAGGTCATGGGTTCGAACCTCAACGCGTTGCCTTTTGCATTTTTTAACATTTTTTTGACATCTTTTTGTCCTTGCAGCGCATGGGCCTCCAATTGATTGAGCTTTATTTTTTTTGCTGTTTCTGACCCCCTGCCTTGTTGTTTACACCCCTGACCCATTTATTTTTCTTTGATATTTTATTTTCTTTCTTTTTTCATTTTATCTTCATTTTATATTTTCTTTATTATTATTATTATTATTATTATTATTATTATTATTATTATTATTATTATTATTATTATTATTATTATTATTATTATTATTATTATTATTATTATTATTATTATTATTATTATTATTATTATTATTATTATTATTATTATTATTATCATTTTCATTAATAAAAAATCCAAAAAATATTTATATTTCTATTGTTTATTTTTATTTAGTTTATTTTTCCTAAAAACTAAAAGAACAAAAAAACATTTCCTTTAATAAATTAATTTACTTTTTTTTAATACTTAGATAATTAATCTTAATTATTATATTATATTATTTTTCTTGTAAATTAAAATCAATTTAGAATTTAGGACTTTTATTAAATTATTTTTATTTACTAGTCTAATTAAATTCACAAAAACCCTAAAAAAATTGTTTCCTTTAATTTCTTTTATTAACTTAAATATTAATTTTCTTATTTTTTAGTTAATTATTTTACTTTAATTAATTAAGTCAAAAACCCTTTTCATGAAAAACCAAACAAAAATCACATTTCTTTTTTACATTTTATATTCTTGCATTTTTATCTTTATTTTTGTACATTTATTCAAATTCAATATGGTTATAATAATTATTTAGATTTAATTTCTTGCAATTCCCCATTTGTAATTTGTACACCCCCTCCCCTAAATTATATAATAGCTTAGTATTTTTTATTTTCCGCAATTTAAATGCTTTATATACAAATGCTAGTAATTAGGGTTTGTATGGAAAGATTAAAATCAATGCTTAGCAAACCCTAATTCAAAGAAAAATCAAGCATGTAAATCAATACACTTGCACACAAACACCCCTAGGGTAAACTTCTCACACAGGATCCAAGGATAGACCCGGGCTTCACAATCTGGGCTTAGCGAAATTTCAATTGCAATCCCCATTCTACTTCAACCATCAAGCCCAATCTCTTTTCTTTTTGTTTTATTTAGTTATTTCATTTCTTAATCTTTTTTAATAATAATAATAAAAAAACTCACACAAAAATTAGGCATAGATTTTTTTTAATTAAATAATTAATTAATTTAATTAATTAATTAATTAAAACTTTAACCTTTTTCTTAATTAAAAATGAATTAGAATTTAAGTCTAATTACTTTCTTTTCATAATAAAAAAAACCACAAAAAAGGCTTAGTTTATTTTTCTTAATTTAATTTTCTAAGTAGATTTTGGGATAATTAATTTAATTATTTTTCTTAATCTAACTTTAAAAAAAAAATAAAAACCAACAACAAAAAGATTTTCTTTTATGTTTTCAGGCGTACTTTCAACTTTTCGCGCGTTTATTTCCTTTCGCATTATTTATATTATTGTAATTACTGTATGGGATGTAATAGATGATAAGTAGACTCTTTTTATTGCTTTATTTTCTTTTCCCAATTTGCTTTGGAATGTAAATCCACCTTCCCGAAGCCATGTAATAGTCTAGATTCATACTTTCCGCATTTTATTTTTCTGTATATATTACTGCTAGTAAATTAGGCGTGCATGACAAGATTAATTAATTAACCGTTAGATCACTAACCTCAAGATAATATAACTGAAAAGAACACACTTCTCACACTTGAATCCTTAGGGTATTCCTCACTTGTTTGCCTTCAGAAATGGTCATGTCCCTCGAATGTAGGGATATCTTAGCAAATACCCTCGGTACTAAAGTCATCAAAATGATCATGGTCCCTAATGTCCCTCGATTTGCCCACGAGAAATGATCTTGTCCCTCGATGTTGCTTATATGATGACCTTCCCTTCGAATGCTAAGATATCC